TGAATGGTGTTTGACTATGGATAAGATAAAAATGTGAGCAAAAGAGCCCAGTGCTAGAGCAACCATTTGATGATTTCCAGAGTCACTGTGGCCCAGGGGTTTTACTCACTCATTCCAGCACCCACAGAAAGACACAGAAATAGCTCAGCAACCCTTGCAAAGTGTGGACTCATTTCTCTTCCTTCAGAGAGAGAAGAGGTTGACAGAGTGAAGGCTGGACACTGGATTGGCAGAGTTGTCTGATTTCCCATGATCCTTGTCATTCTCCTCATCGTGCACTGTCTGCACACTCAGTGTAGAACAGTGTTGCAGGGTGGAGGCTAAAGACGAGACCCTGTAAGGACCACTGTGGTGACTCGGGTGAACCTTGGGATGCCACAGAAGAGGTATCCTCTGCCACTTGGGGCACCTACTGTATCAAAGACTCTCATTGTGGGGTACAAGTGGATTCACGATGTACGATGAGAATGAATGGTGGAACTACAGTGATTCTGAGGACCCCACTTCTCATGCAGGGACAATCCACCTCAAGCACTGAGCATGAAAGCCACTCCCCCATCCTGAGTCCCAGGTCCTTTTACTCCCCGCATTCCCTCCTCTCCACCATCAACATATATCAAATCCTAAGGCTGGCTCCAAACACAATTTCACATTCCCTCCCCAGTACATCACTGCAATTACAGAAAACACACAGAAATGTGATGAATAAAGAATAAAAGACACTACGCCTTATGTGTATTATCCCACCAGATTGGGAGGAGTGGTCAGCTGGAAAGGATGCTGAGCAGGACTGCTATTGGAGAAGCCAGTGTGACAATCAGGCCCTAGTCTGGACCAAATCTGGGGATGGGCGTCCCACACACTTTAATATTGAGGCCACTTACAGTGTCTTAAACATTGCTCACAGCTGTGCGGTAAGCCGGCTATGGTAACAACCAGCTTGCATGTGGCCAGCGGAGGCTCAGGACATTTACATTCCAAACTGGTTGCCCAGGGATCTGTGAGACTCACACGCCAAGGGCTGAACACCCTGGGAGGAAGGAGAGAGACTCTGGGGCATGGCCCTCAGACTATCTTCCTTAGGGACGAGGCTGCTCTAGTAGCCAATTACATTCTGTCTGCACTGCTACCGATTTCCTGCAAAGAGCCAGGGGCTCACGCTTTTGGGACTAGCACCAACTGACAAGTAGCTGCTTTTGCAGAATCCTATTTTATTTTTACCTTGGCACTGCAGGCTAGAAATCCAACAGATAGATTGGATTAGCAAAATGAGCCCAGTGCCTGGTAGGATCACCTCTCAGAATACAGAAAACAGCCCGGGTCACAGGTCTCTTCTAAGGAAGGAAGAAACCAATGTCTGGGGGAAATGGAAGGCTGTGGTGGCAATGCTGGATCAGAAGCTAAAGCCCAGTTATAGAGTCTGTACCCTGTGGTAGCCAGCCTCCAGCAGGGCCCCGATGATCCTTGCCTCAGAGTTTGTCCTACTACCCTGTCTGGGGATGACCTGTGTAACCAAAAGAATTTTGGGGGGAAAAAATCATGGAGTTTGCCTTTTAAAGTTAGGTCATACAAAAACATCACAGCTCCTGCCTTGTCCTCTCTTGGATCGGTTGTCTTTTGGAAGCCAGCTGCCATGTCACAAGGACACTCAAGCAGCACCGAGGTGGCGTCCTTGTGGCAAGGACCTGAGTTCTCCTGCCAACAGCCAGCGTCACCATGCCATCAACATGAGGGAGCCCGAAGCACATCCTCCATCCCAGTCAAACCTTCGGATGATCACAGCCCCAACCAGCATCTTGATTGCAACCTCGTGAGAGACCCTGAGCCAGAACCACCCCAGGTGAGCTGCTTTCAAATTCCTGACCCACAGGAACCTCGTGAGATAGTAAGTATTTAGTGTCATTTTATGTCACTAGCTTTTGGTGTAATGTATTATGCAGCAAATGCATCATTAATGCACCCTGCCAGGTGTACCATTAAGTCTATTAATGCAGGAAACTGACTTTGTCCCTGGTGGGAAGCCTTGTCAGCGTGTCTTCTTTCAAAATATTAGTATCTCCTGAGATATATGGGTATCCAGTGCAGTAACCTGCCTTCCTGCTTCTCTTCTTCCATACCATCCTCAACCACTGTGCCACGCAAACATATACATGTACATAGGTATATACACCATGCACACACACACACAAAACTTTCTTTTAAACCTGAAAAATCACTCAAGCGCTGAAAATATGAACTTTTTTCCAGGAAGAACCAGATGCTTTGGATGTTTTAAGTAGTATTTTTCACTCTGTCTCTGAATGGACAGATGGCGGGGGCAGGGAGGACACAGCTGATGACTGAGAATTGATTGATGTGTCTGTTCTCCTTTGCTAGTCATATAATTCTGAGCTGAGTGAGCCAGAGCAAGGGAGGAAAGCCACAGCCACAAATGCGTGCATTCCCAAATTCGTCTAAATATTCCAGAATGGAATTTCTCCTTTTCTCTCATTTTCCCATCCCATTTACCACCCTAGGTGAGGAGGAGAGTCTTTGATGAGATAAAAGCACAGAGGCTGTGTGAACATAATAAATAGCCCATCCAAATTATGGTAGAGGCCATCAAGCTATTACAAGAGAAACATTTCCTCCTTGTATAGGAGTTCTGCTATGAAGAATCCGGAAGATGTGAGGCTCTAAGTTTCTGCAGGTCCTTCCCCTCCAGGAATCTTTGTGGAGTTCTAAATTGGACATGTTGAGTGTAAGGTGGGGCCAAGAAGAAGGCTAGAACTGGGAAAGCCTTGCAGCATCCTCCTTGGCTGGAGTGGGCCCTGAAGGCAGCAGCAAAAGGTAGAAAATGGGAATAAAGGAGAGCAGAGAAGGAGCACCAGGGAGAGAACTCCCGATAAACATCCAGAGTGGACCTGCGTGGGTTGCAAGATGGCCAGGTGGGAAACTATTGCTCAGCCTCCTGTGTGTTTCTTTTTATTTCTGCCAGAGAACTCTACCTGCCTGCCCTTCCAAGTATGGAGTCATACCTGAAGGGTTACAAGTGAAATTTTCTCATCACGAGGTGAGTAGGGTCATGGACGTCCTTCTCTAGAAAGAATCAGGGTTGATCATGACCACAGTTTGGGGAGACAGTGTTCTCCCGGTGTGTCTGAGCAGAGTAGATATCAGAGGCCCCATGTCATTGTCCTTGGCCCTGGATTCTCCAGGAACTGGCCCTGTGTCTCTCTGCTCATCTTCTTCCGTGCATCTTCCCCTACTGAGCTCTGCCACCAGCTCTGATGAATCCCAGGGTGTCCAGCCCTGGACTCTTGCCTGTGATCCATTCCCGATTTCAGCTGTGCATAGACTTTCCTCCTCTTGGTATCTGAGCCTCACCTTACACTCAGTGTGTCCAATTTGGATTTCCACACAGACTCCTTTTCTTCATGATCTTATTTCTGGTCATTTCAGCTGGGAATTTTGGAGTCACCTCAGATCTTCTTTCCTCAGGACCTAAATCCTCCTGCCAGTGGTCCTGAGGTCTTTCCCTTTACACTGTACCTTTGTTATGCTCAATAATGGACTATGCTCAGAGCCTTCACCCTTTGCAAACTCTCATCCTGACAGGCCTGAAATGTGCTCTTTTCTTTCTTTGCTCCCTTCATCTCCCTCATATTTCAGTTTGAAACAAGGGCCCCCATTTCCTTAAGCCTTACCTGACCCCTCAAAACCACATTTGTCTCCTTTCTTGAACTTCTATTCTTCTGTTTCAAAGAAAATTGTTAATGAGGACCTGCTGTGTGCAATGTTGCCAACGGGGCAACAACAGTGAGTTCTGGGCCTCAAGGAGATTACAGTCTAGTAATCATAATACCAATTAATAATTTCCTTTTTTCTCTTTCTTTTTAAAAAATACGTTTTCATTGGTTTTTAGAGAGATATGAAAAGAGAGAGAAACATTGGTGAGAAAGAAACACTGACTCATTGCCTCCTGCATGGCCCCCACTGAGGATGGTGTCCACAAATCAAACCAGCAACCTCTTGGGCATTGGGTTCAAATGGCTTAACTACTGAACCACACCAGCTGGGCTATTTTCTCTTTCTTAACTGTGTTTCCCCAACCAAATTCTTAAATAGCCAAGACTGTGTCTTAATCTTTTTGTAAAATCCACAGTGACTGTTAGACTACAGGGCACATGATATGTTCTTACTACTTGTTGGTTATATGCAAGATTGGTAATAGAATCAGATTTAAAAAAATACATGTCAACTACAATCCTTATCTAAGTTACAGAAATATCTTTGGTATGAAAAAAAAAAACCTTCAAGAAATTTAAAAAACCATGCTATGTTTGAATAATGTTTTACATGTCTAATCAATAAATCAATTTAACTTGTCAAATTATTTTTAATATAATCATTGATAATTTATTCCCCAAATTCCATAATCTTGAAATAATAATCATATTGTAAGATTAATGATTCAAAGCACATTAGTAATTCAAAGATAGATATCTGGAATTTCCTAAGAGATTTCACAAGACAGAAATAGGAGCAAATTGAGAAGCACTGAACATAATCCTTAGGCAAACCATTCTGTTCTATTAAGGACAAGATTGTTGATAAGATCTCAATACACAAGAGAACCATGACATCCTCTCAGCAAGGGGCTCCTGAACTAGGGACAGAACTGGACTCAGATAATAGTGATATGTCTTTTTTAAATGTGCCAAGGAAAAAGATTTTGTGAATCAGAATTAGAGAAATCTTATTTCTCCAAAATGTAAAACACTTTTTGACATAAGAAAAAAAAACAAAACAGGGAGATATTTCATTCCTCCCTGCCTTAAATGAGCATAGTTTTGATTCTTTGTTCAGAGGATCTAATATGTACCTCAGTTTAAACTACAAGGAATGCATGTCAGTCCAGCCTGGAAGAGATCTTCATGTGCTCAAGAACACAGCATCAACAATTTATCTCAGATATATGTTTACTGTCAAAGTAAATCTTTAAAAAAAATCTTACTCACCTGCCAGAATATGCTGTCTATTGTGTTTCCAAGAAAACCATCACGGCCTTCTGAAGACACCAGTTTCGGGCCAAGAATTGTCATGAATTCATCAAAATCCACCTGGCCATCCCCTGGAAGGAGAAGATATAAATATAAATGGAAAAGTAGTTGAAATTGAACTATTGTACCTCATGAAATAAACATTTTCATATTTTCCTCCTTAGCATGACCTCAATAAAAAACTAGTGGCATTACTGAAAGTTGTACAACATTCTTCAAATACCAAAAGAAACACAATAAATTATTGGTAATTATCAGTACATCCAATACCACACATCCCTAATTATTTGTCTATATTTCTATCTAAATGCTCTACCAGCACCTCAAATTGCCCAACTATACATAATAAATATCTCTCCCTTCATCTTCGTCACTCACAAATACATTTAGTCATCAGGTTTTATGGAATTCACCTCTTAGATACCTGTGGCTGTTTTACTTTTCTTATTAATCCAACTGCTAATCCCTTTCCAAAGACTATGGTGGGAAAGTGATTACAAGGATTCAAGTTCCTAGTTATCATTATAACGTTATTAGAATTGCTTTCTGACCTCACGCTCTCAACTGCTCATTTTCCTCCAAACAATTCCAAGTTTACTTTCCTTAAACACATCTGATCATGCTTTATAAACCAATTCATCTTTGAAAATAAGGAAACCACCTCAGGGTAGTATTCAAGTCCCATTGCCCCTCTTGTCACCTTTTGCTCCCCACCTCTGCACAAATTGCCCTGCTTTTTCAGAGCTTCAGGCCTCCGTATATTGGGATGCTTTCCCCCATTGGTTTACCTGGTGAACACAATCAGTGCTCTAAGATGGAGCTTAAATATCATAGTTTCTTTTCATTTTCTTTCTGATCCTTCCTCAGCTCACTAGACAGAGTTGGCCAAACTTTCTCCATCTCTCCTACTAACTTAATGTGCATCCTTTACAGAACTTATCACCTGTATCTCACTCACTGATTTACATGCCTGTCTCCTACCTGGACTCTGAAACTTCTTTGTACATTCAATACCGTGGTGGGCCCTCAGGGTGTGCTTGTGAAATGAACAGATGCTGTCTCTTGCTTGATCTTCCTTTGCTCAGTTCAGCATCCATTGGATCTTTCAAGCCTGAGCTACTACTGACCAAGGCAGACAAAAGCTGACCTTCAAGGTATTGCCCAAGCTTCAATGACTCATCAGTGTGGCATTCCTAAGGAGTCATTGAGGCTTGGACGATACCTTGAAATATCGTCTAAGAGAGAGTCTCCACCAAGAGGTCGCCACTTCTTGGCTCCCAGCGATGAAGGCAGCTTAAGTGTCTGCACACAATTTGCCAAAGTGCAGACATTGATCCACCCCCAGAATGCAATTGCCTTTAAAGAGCCTTCATTCAAAACCTATTTCAAAAATCCAAACAGATGTCATCATCAAGCTGTCAATAATTCAAATAAGACTTTCTAGAAGATAAAGGAGGCACGAGAAGTCAATAGGAAAGAACAGATTTAGCCACCAAATGGGGTGGGGCAATCAGTGGGCTACTGAGAGGAAACTAATTTATCTTTCAACCTTCAATAAGATAAAGGGATCTAAAATTTCACCCTCATTGATCATAAAAAAGCTAACACAAGCAATAATGCGTTACCATCTTGACTTTCAAATTAGAGAATACTTGTAACAAGAATACTGCCCAAGCCTTGCAGAGGTCCAGAGAAGAACCAAGCTCTCTTCTGCATTCCCAGTACACTTATCTGAATATTGGATATTGACTGGCAGTATTTAAGGTGCTGTAACATGCTGGCTCTTTTTAACATGATAACTTTACTTTAAATAATAATAAAAAAGAAAACAGGGAAATTATTTTACATGCAGACCAAGATGCTTGCCTCAAGATAATCATCTAGTATTTGTGAAAGTGGAAATTAGAAGCTGGGAAAGAGAATTCCCAGTCTTCTTAAAATTCACACTGAGCTGGCTCCGTGTGGCTCCAAGTCTCAGACAGGCACGCTTGTTATGCACATGCACTAATCCTCTGTGTTGTGTTACATGCCACTGAATTGGCTCTGACTCCTGGTGACCCCATGAATGAGTGATGTCCACAGTGTCCTGCCATCAACAGCCCTGCTCAGCTCCTGTAGACTCCAAGGCCATGGCTTCTTTTATGGAGTCAATCCATCTCATATTTGGTCTTCCTCTATTTCTGCTCACCCCAAAACACCCCTGTTACTATTGGTGGGACTGGAGGGCCAAAGAGTCTCAGACTAAAATATCCATTTTCAATAGAGACACTATCTCCCTTACTAAAGTGATTCTTAGAGGACAAAAAGTATCCTAGATATTATAATGGTTTGTGGCCCTCTGGGACCATCATACATAAACAGATAGACAGTATATATTTCTATTAAAATTTCATGGAGGTAGGGCAACAATGGAAACCAATGTTCTAAGACTCCTGGGGGTGGGATGGCTATTTAAAAAAGAAGGTCAAGAAACACTGGACCAGAAGATGTCCCAAGTACTGTGGTTGTCCTTCCCTGGGCCCATTAGCAATGGACCAACATTATCCCAACTCTCTATCACCCATGACGAGGCCTAACAGTTCATAAAGGCTTAGCATTTCAAGAGCATGAATCATGAGACCTTAACTAAAATATGTCTACCAGATGGTCACTCAAGCTCCTGGCCATGGTATAATAGACACTGCTGTCTCTCAATTGGGAGGCTTGCAGGGGAGTGGTCCTTAGGACATGGCAAAACACCTGCTCCTCATTGCCAGGAAAATGGGATTGTCTTTGTACAGTCCACCTTCCACGTAGGAGGAGAGGCCACCCACCTCTCCAAAATCCCCTCTACCCCCGCCAGAGTGATGGGAGTAAAGCAGATGCAATTGGTGCATTTCAAGGGCCAAACTCTGGTCAAATCACCAAGGAATGCTCACAGAGGGTGCCTTTGGCTGAGAACACCAAGCCCAAAGCTGACAAGCAGACACAATGCTTCAAACTCTCCTGGCGCTGGCTGACTGCTCTTTTCTGACTCAAGCCTTGGCCAGAGAGGAAGCGCTGGGGGCAGGGTGCTCAGGATGCTGTGGGCAGTGCCAACTGCAGTGCAGCAGAACAGGTGGCTTGGTGCAGACTTTCTGCTACTGGGAGAAGAGGTCTAGTTCACAAAGGATTTGCTTCCAGCTACTTAGAGGAGGCCATTTGGAACACCGGATTTTTTTATTGGTAAAAATATGATTCCACTGCTCCTTTTTAACTATCATCGAGCAAAGGGAGGTTGCTGCAGGAGAAATAAATTGGGGTAGAGTCCCCATCTCTGTATCTCTCTCAGGACTTCTTCAGCTCTGACTCCTGAGGATGTGTGTACACAGCACATTTTCCGTAGACCTTCCATAAGTGAGGGCTCCTCTTGCTACCGCACAATTTGACAGCACAAGGTTCTATTCAGACTTCATGTGAGGAAAAGCTCTTTTCAGCAGTTTGCATTTTAACAAACAGAAATGGAAAACGCCTTATAAGCTATCAATCCTGGTCTCAGAATACTAGTCCCACAGCCCCATCCCCTCACTCCATCATCTCAGGAGAACTGAGACAAATGGAGTCTCAGAGAGAGGTTTTTCACCAAGTCCCTTGTAGGAAAACCATTCCCAGGGCACAGTAAGGTCTGGAGAGCCTGATAGTGCTCAAAATATCTAACATTTACTAAGCACTCATTCACAATGTGCTGGGCACCGTGTAAAGAAATCTCTTTACATTAGTTCAAGTCTTTCAGCAGCCCATTTTACAGATGAGAAAACTGAGACACAGAGGTTTTGTAGCCTGCTGAAGCTCATGTAACAAGCAGAGCTCGGATTCCAAACCCAGCAGTCTGCTTGTGCTTTTGCTGCACCTAAGGAGGCTGGGTCACGCATGGTCCTGTCTGGAACCTTCTTTCCCCCAACTCCAGCATTTCCTGGCAGGGGAATGCCATGGCTGCCTGGTACTTGTAGGCAAAGTGAAATCTACATCGCTCTCTCTGATCTAGTTATTGCATCTCAGGTCAACCTTTAGAGGTCTTTCTTAATCAATAAAAACAGAAAGAGGAGATATGTATTTTACAGGTGTTTTATGCCAGGCACTGAGTTCAGAGCTTTACATTTTATTATCTTGTTTGATTTTTATCCCAACACTATGAACAGGTTCTGCCTTTCCACATTTACCCATGAGAAAACTTAGACAAAAAGAGGTTAAAAGCAACAAGTTCAAGGCCACGCAGCACATATCAGCTTGGAACCTTGATATTAACCTCCACGTTGTACCATCCCTGCTTCTGCATCAGGGACCCCGGCATAAGTCCTGGCTTAGGTTCATATCTCTCTTCAAAGTGTCGGAGTCTAACATGGTGTCCTATCTGGGCATTTAGGAAGGAATTCAGTAGGAGATTGGGAGAGATGGCCTTCACGGTTCTAATGCAAAAGATGGTTGCCTGAAAGCCACTTATTTGTTCCCAAATTTCTATTTTGCCTGCAGTCGCTGTCTCAATAATTCTCCTTCGATGGTCAATTCTTAGCGGACCCAGGTCTCTCTCATACAACCTTCCGGACGTCTGACACCTCTTTTCCCTGAAAGCATTGGTCTAATGAGGGAGGCCTGTGCGGGCCTGGCAGGGAATCTGGATTCACATGCTCCCAAGGAAAGGATGGGCATCTTCTCAGACCCACCCCCTTTTGTAGAATGTGACTGCAAAAATGTCATCGGGTTAAATTTTTTACCAATTTTGAACATGCAAGTAACTGCAGAATTAAAGAATGGAAGAGTTCACCTCTACCAGGCTTCCTTCTCCCTCCTCTAGCCTTCTAATATCATGAGCCACTTAGCAGGAAATGCAGGAAGCTGACCTGCTAAGGTCTAGCTGCTATGTAAGTCAAAGTAATGAACTTGAACTGGGGCAGGAAGCTGCAGGAGGGCCAGGACTGTGCAACATTCATTAAAACCAACCAGCCGAAGCTTGCACAAAGAGCTAAAATAACAAAAATCACTGCAAAAAAAAAAATAAGAATAATGAAAAGGATGAGCTCTGAAGGACAACAAGGACACAGTTAAGAGGAAGAAC